AAAACTCGGAAAAACAATTGCCGGTAAAACTTTTGTCAGTTTGAATTTATTTTTAAAAAACCTTAACTTCGAAGTCACTATGCCAAAATAAAAACCATAAAAAAGATTATCTTACAAATAAAAGACCCTTTTCAGAATTCAGTGCTATCTTGTCTCAAAAACCAATTTCACTTTAGACAAGCTTATGGGGGTCATGAAACTGTATTTCATCAAGCACCGCCACTTTCACACTTCAATGGCAGATGAGAATGCACTCTTCGATCACCTCACAATTCTTTCTTGTCTGTTTCAATGATATGAACATGAGGACTGACCAGTGCAAGGTGGCATCCCATAAGCCCCTTCATTAAATTTCCACCACCAAAAGGCTTTAAAACCATACTTGTGGCAAGGAATTGATTAGCCCCACTCCAAAGTAAACGCTTATGCAGCAGTCGTATCTAATTTGCACGTCCTAAGGGTACTGATGTATTGAACGTTTGGGCCTTGCATATCCCTAGCTTGGTAGTATATCATCAACTTGTTCCTTCACCAGCCTCAAGAAGGCCACCATTAGCTTGGCACAAATGCCATACACTGAGGTCACGATAGTGACCATAGTTGCCAGACTGAATTTCAAAGGGGGGTCTATTTGCGTGAGAGCCGAGAGGCCACTTCAGTTTCCTTTGAGATACTGAACTATTGGCAAAAGCGAGTTCACCGTTCATCTCGTCATGGTTCATTCCGAATGGGTCATTGAACTCCCGGGGTCACCCCAGAAGCCACTGCTCTGGTTTCCACTTTGGAGCATACTATTTGTGCTTTTTAGAGGGGGGAGGGGTTTCGTTCTTATAACAATGAAAGCTATGAACCTGTAGATTTAATAGGAGGGAGGGCAGGGCAGCTGGAGCTTTTTTCATGTGACTTTCCAGATGTTTAGTTATTTCAAAGTTTTCCCTCAATAGACCGTTTGCTAAATGCCTCAAGCGCCCCGGCCTGCACTTGAGGAATCATGGGAACGGTTATCCTTCAGTTCCCTAATGATCGGTAATTTCGACCAATTGTGATGCTTACACACTTTTGAGTGTAACCCGGAGTCATTCTGAGTAAGTGTCGTGTAGATTGCAGAGACCTGTCATATCGCTTTTAACATTTCTCGTCAATGTTAACGTTTTTAAAACTCTGCATGCAGTCCACCCTTCAACCTGGCCGAGCTGCAGAAATCTTACAGGAGCTCCGGACTCTGAGCGAAAATAAAGGTTTTCTCTCTCTCTCTCTTACAATATTATCATTCTTGCACAGCTTCAAAGACACCGATATTAACTTAGAAATGCTAAAAATGATATAAACAGCCCCGCTGACTGCGAGCTAAATTCTGCTTTTGGTTGTTGCGAATTCTCGGCTTTTAAGCAAATCCTGCTAAAACAATCACAAGAATGATAATGTTCCAAGAGATTTCTGCAGCTTGGCCAGGTTGAAGGGTGGATTGCATGCACAGTGTGAAAAATGCTGACACTAACGAGAAATTTTAGAAGTGACAAGACAGGTCTCTGCAACCTACAGGGTGTCCCCCCTCAAAAATTTGCAGGTTCTTTTTTAACCGCAAAGTAAACTATGCACTGCTAAACGCTCATTCTCTGCCCAACCAGATGCCAAAGTTTCAGCATGAACAGATCTTATTAAAAACTTACAAGTGATTTTCTGAAAAATTCAATGGGAAAACTGGAGCCAATTTTCACCTGTTTTCGGTTTCTGGCGCCCATAGAGCCCCATGTATTCAAGAAAATATATTTTTTTTTTGTACACGACGCTTATTTAGGATGACCCCAGATTACATTTAAAAGTGTGCAAGCAATGAATTGGTCAAAATTACCGATCACTAGGAAACTGAAGGAACACCGTTTCCATGATTCCTCAAGTGCAAGCCAGGGCACATCCTCGTTGAGCTGGCATCAGCATGTAAATTATATCGTAGCAGAAGGTTTCAAATCCTTGGGTCTCTTGTGCCGAAATACTCACAACTTTTCACAGATTACGCGGGAACTATTATATAAAACAAATGTGATACCTATATTAGAATAGGCCTGTACTGTGTGGGAGACCTCCCAAGTAGTCTAGACAAAAATCCTACCCGTTTCCCCCATATTACCTATCCAGGTGTGCGAATCATAATCATAAAGTGTATAAATATAGGTGCAAGACTGCAGCGTTTAGGAATTAATTTGTTCCGAAAACAGTGTGCCAGTGGAACAAAGCACCTTCTACTGTTGCCTCAGTCTTATTAAACAATGCCTTTTATATACTGCTTTAGAAATGGTAGGCTCATTTGACTGATATGGCTGCGTACAAGATAAATCCCAGGCAGAAGTTAGCACGGTAGATAAAAATTATTTTGATGCATAGGTGCTGCCGACCTTGGTGTCCTCGGAGGGATGGAGTTTCGTATATGGTTTATTTGTTTTCCATGTCGCGAAGTGTGATGGAGTGCGTTGAACGACACAAAATCTGAAGGGTGATTCAAATGTCGCGAGATCTGCTGGAATGCTTTTGATCTCGTGAGGTTTTAAAGTTTTGTTGAAGATTATTACCTGTTAATTTGTTTTATTTTTTGTGCGTGTATCACCCTCGCTATAATGCCGAAAGGCACTGCGGGTGCTGAATAAATAAAAATAAATTTAGCAAATGGTCTATTGAAGCCCCACTACGTTGCAAGATTTGTCGTTGGGACATTTAGTATTGTCATTGGCAAGAGCGCCAGTGCAAAATGCCGCTGCAGACATATCGTTTGATACGGGCAAGAGTCCCATTGTACTGAAAGAACCTTGACGAGACAAGTGGGAAACTCTACTGTCAATAATCCTAAATTAGGTGTTTTTAAGACCACTAGCCCTATGCTGTGACAAACCTTATTAAAAAAAAGATACACATTTTCTTTTTTGCTTTTTGTTTTGGCATTGGGAATTTGAAATTCTGAGTTTTTTTTATAAATCCGAATGATCTAAAACTGATAACATATAATTAAATCATGCCTCCACTGAAAGAATGACAAGTAAAATAACTCAGGAAATATAAGCAGATGGTAAGTGTTTCAAGGCCACCCAATAGATGGCGCAGTTCCAATGCAGTTCATCAGACTAAAATGCAAATGTGCGAACCAGCCTCGAGCAGTCCCCAAACCCCCCCTCTCCCTCCCCCTCCCACCCTCCCTTCCCTTCATGCTTGGTGCATGTGTGGCTTCGATGAGCTTAACGCGGCAGAGTGCGAGGTCACGGAAAGATCGCAGCTGCTCGGGAAGAACGGGGAAAAAAAACAACGGGAGGTCAAGGAGAGATACCAGAGCCCCGGGACCAACTTCTACCGCCCAAAGCAGACGGTAAGAATTGAAGAGATAGCTCGGCCTTCGTCACTGCTGCGTCCGATTCTCTTTCCTTATCGAGCTACCAATTTGCACGACGTTAAGTGTCGTGTGCCAACTTGCGCTTCCCTAAAGAATTCAGCGTTTTCCCTAATTTCGCACGAAGAATATTGAGTGTCTCAGCTTCGAGCCTGCCTAGATCAAGCATAGAATTTCTAGAGGCCCACTTTACGTGAAGTTTAGACGGGTTGGAAACTACCTGCCATCAATCATTTTGAACTATGTTATCGAGGCTAGCGTAGCTTCCGTATGATACAATGTTGCAATAGCTAGTTGCAACAGTGCGTGCGAATGCAAAAAGAAGTAGCTTTCGCGCATTCTCGTGGCAATGCAAAAGCTACGCCAGCCTCGACAACGTAGCAAAAAATAGCTGACGCCGAGCACAACCCCATCACCGAAACAAATTGAGATTTTGTCCAATCTTTCTTGCAGGTGATCCGAGAACGGAAGCTTCCTTCCAGAACCCGGGCTTAAACCAAAGGCACAATGCGTCGTGCAGAAACATAACAAACTGTATTAGAATCTGGACGATGTTATCGTTTATCTTTCGAGGGAAGACCAATTTGTGGGTAGTAATCGGCTATCTCCCTGAGTACTGCGGTAAACGAGAAACGGTAGCTAAAACTAAAGAGAAGGAAAATAAAAGGCTACGGGGAAGACAACACCAAGTACACAAAAGTGGCTAGGCTCAGAAGGACGGAAGTGGGAACGGGGCCGCAAACAGAGCGGGGAGGAAAGGAGGCGTATCGTGGTCGAAGTGAAGGGATGCGAGGAAGTGAATTAAAAAGGGGAGGGAGGAACATGGGAGAGGATGACACGTCTAAGAGCACACAGTACATATACAAATGCAAATGTACAACTTTGTGCCGCATGGTATTGTTTTTTGCAAAACGTTTTTAAGGATGCAGCAGAGAAAACACTTTTAACAAGGCAGCTGCTCACAATCTTTCATACCTGCGACGTACCAGCAAGCACAATGGCGGACTTTCTCGGCGCGCGCTTTTTGATCCCGTCCTCGTCGCCGACATTGTTCCGGTTCTGCTTTTTGGCAGTCATGGGAAACGCCGACTATTTAAATCAAATGTTACTTCCAATCGAAAAAAAAAAAAAAAAGCGACGGCCCAAAATGTTGTTTATGGCTCGGGCGCTTAATATTTTTCTGCAGCATCATGAAGTGAGACGATAAGAATAAAGACGCAAGTCATGCAAATGCTACCGTTCCAAAGCATGCAGCACAAAAGCACCATGCAATGAGACGATTATTACTTCAGTTCTTGTTCCATACGGTGGTACTTGTATTTCCCGCCCAATTTTAAGACCGACCTCACATGCTGTCATTTTTTAGACATACACATCTGGGATTCAACACAATCACATTGGTTTAGTTAGATCTAGCCGACAAGACTGTCCGTCGCATCGCATGTGTACGCTAGTCGTGGGAATCGCTGCCAACATGGCCGTCCCGCTGCTTCGATTTCCCGTTTCCAGCAGTTTCTGTGAATGCAACGAGGGGAATGATCGTGCAGTTTTGCAGCGTTATTCTGTCATGCATGTTAAGGCCACTCCAGGAACGCCAGGGGGCCGAGTAGTTGACAAAGGGGGTTATACAAACTCTCGAGCGTTTTTTTTATTTCTCAACGTACAGCATTTTCCTTTCAAGACATAATCGACCTATGATAAACACGCAGTTAATTTTTTTATTCTGTACTCGTTACAAATGGGGGGTGGGGAAGTTACCATGCATGACAACACAAACAAAACAAGAAACATACAGTCAACACTTTGCTCACTCTTTTCATAGACTATTAGTCGGTGTTACGAGGCAGATGTGCGAATTTGGTGCCCTCCACAGACCATGTCACTTCTCAGTTTACGACAGAGAAGAAAAACAATTCGTTAGAAGCACACAATCAATGCGGATGTCTTGCATGACTTTAGCCTCAGGCAAACGGATCATGGAACAATGGACAAGTCTCTTCTAAAAGTAACAAACTACAACAAAGCATTCACGTTTATATTAGGCGCTCAGGCCGGCAACGAGCGACGTAGCTGGCAGATGTAAACTTGTATTGCAACGACGGGATTCGAGAAAAAACGACATCGGTCCCCGAAACGAACCTTTCGACTCTGCCGTTTCAGCCGACGGGATGCGCCGCCATCAAGAGGACGAAAACAAAGAAGGCGACTGCGCCGCAAAACGAGCGCAACCTGACGAGGCGCTCGACGCCATTGTGCTTGCGCTTACGCCCCGCAGATGAACATGCGCTTGCGAAGCAACAAGGGATCCCTTCTTTACCCTGAGGGTCGGGCTTGCGCGCCGCAGCCGTCTGCTGGGTTGTCGCGGGAGAGGCCGCCTTATCCGGACCTCCGTCTGCAACCGGCGGAATTGCGGCGGTGGCGGCGGCGGTGGCAGTGGTGGTGGCAGCCTCACGTCCGTCCAACCTGTGCAACAACCGTGCGCTCTTGCCCTTTCCGAAAGTGGTCGCTTCCAACTCGAAGGAACCTCGTATCCATTTAAGACTCCCGACGAATGTCAGAACAGCTCGTCGGAACGACGGGTTCGCTTCGCCATTATTGTCGTCTGCAAACCGTGCACGACGTACGGAAGCAAGGTCTAAAGGCCCGTTCGCGCGTCTGTGTTTCGCTGCGACTGTCTGGCACCGTCCATCGGGTACGGCCGGAACACTTCTGAAGAATGCGCTACCTACAAGAAACGGTCGCTCACAACATGGTCAGAATTATTTATAGCCCATTATTAACACAACGACACATATAAAAAAAAAAATATTAGCAGATTGAAAGCGTTTTAGGGCCACCCAACAGGTGCTGAAAGCGTTCCCTCGGTGTAAGCGATCGCACTTGGACGCAGACGCGTGAACCAGCCTTGACTGTCAATTTGCTTTCGCGCGATTCGCGCGGCGACCACGACGGCAGGAGATCCCGCACCCAACCGCCAAGTTTCCGACGCGTCTCCCGCCAGAAATGAAAGCGCTCGGTGCCGCCGTTGAGGTTGAACGAGGCTCCGGTTATTCCCATTCCCACACGCTTCCGGCGCGCATCCAGCGATTTTCGATGGACGCTCGCGTCATCCGTCCAATGTTTCTGTGGTGGAACGAAGAGAAAGAACAAACACTAATGGGTCACATGTTAGCAGGACACAATTTGCCCAAAGCATGCACACACTCGCGGACGATTGCCGCAGACGTGGGTCGACGCTTACGCGAGTTCTTTGCGAATGCCCCATCGTCGCGCCAGTGGGCGAGATAGATATCTCATCGGCAGTCGAAAGCGCCGGTCTCTTGACGAAAAAAAACGGTTGCGGTGTAATCTGAGTGCTAAGGCCTCAATAGCTTCTGCTTTCTGCGTAGAACAAACCGTCTGCTTTTTGCGCGAGAGTTGCGGCGACTTCAGAACGATGCCGAGCTCCGATTTCCTTCGACTGAAAGGATATTGGATAGACCTCAATGCCTAATGCCTCGAGGTCTACCCACAATTTCCTCCAATCCACCAATAAGAGCTGGGTGTTCTGACATCGTCGCAACACCCTGTACAAGAAGCAGACAAACTTGCGCTCTGCATTGGCACGACTGAAAGGTTCCAGTGGCGCCTCGAAATACCGATATCCAACTTCCTATGTCGTGCGACTGCATCGAGCTAAATGAACTGCCGTAAAACACAGAACATCCGCCCAATCCACAATAAGTGCCTGGCCCTCAATTTCGAAACATTCGGAAAATACGCGAAGGACACATGTTTGCATGATTATCTCCAAATTTTGAGTGGGCGCTAGATCAGGATTTTACTGCATATTAGAGATGAGTTGCGCGCACCATTTCACGACATGGAAGTGCTTATCCAACCTTTACTCAAATGTGCTAGGCAGATTGACCGGCAGGTACATCCAATTAAAGGATATCATATGTCTGCTGCACTTTGCTTTAACATGAGGACTAGAAGTTTTTTTAGTAATAATATTCAGATTAATCTCATTGTTATAGTCTAAAAGCCTCAAGGGAGAAAGCGACAACTTGGTGTCGCTCCCTCTTTCAAGGCAGACAGTGTCGTACCAACTGACCGCATCCAGCAGACTCAGTTCAGATAACTGAAGTCGCCAATACAGCCTCAAAAACAACCAATCGAGGCCTCCATATTTGTCCACGGTACCCTGCCGAGTGTTGGTGGCCCTGTCCTCTAGCCCGGACTACAGTAAAGTGTGCCAACCTGTGCTGCCTGGCAAGGGTGCAGTCCCCGCCCTCGGCAGGATCCAGGTTGTAGACGTAGAGGAATCCGTCCGTTGTCGCCACCAGCACCCTGGGAATCTTCTGGACCCTGCACAATGGTGCGAGCCTCGTCTTAAGGGCGGACACTATTCAGAAAAAATTAATTTGTGCAAAATAGGCAGATTTTGAAAAATGCCCTATTTACATCCGCCAACATCAAGAGAGTATTCCCAGAAAGCTTCATTTGTTTACAGTGCATAGTTTTTTACAAATTATTTTCAGTCCACCAATGCTAAAGAAAAGGTAGAGGTTTGAGTGCTTTGAACGCCTTTTTCTCCAATCCACTTTCTGGCATAAATTTAACCTAATAAACCTATCGTTTCAGCATGAAACTGTCGAAAGACTAAATTTTTGAGGCTTATATAATGAAATATTATGGAGCCAGTTACTATGAACTTAGATTTTGCATTTTCATGTTCCTTCATTACGAAAAGTTGTAATTTGTAAAACTTGGTAAATATAGGAAAACAAATGTTTTTCATTAATTCTTGTTAGCTGAAAAATCCACATTTTGGGAAATTTCTTTTTATAGGAACCGGCAACAGACATCCCATTTCTCAACAATAGATTCATTGACCAGATTCCATGCCAAGCTATGCTTTACTTTGTTCTGGGGGTATAGTACTTTATAAAATTGTTTCAAAAGGCAGAAAGTTTGCATGCCACCCTCCTATATGACTAGAAACACCGCATGCAAATTTCACGCTGATTGACTGAGCAGTTCAAAAGTTGACATTCCCAGTGAGGCAGAAAGTTTCCAACAAGGACAAAAAATAAACACCTCGGGCTAGTGCCAAACTCCTGTGGTCGAAAAACCCGTCCACAGAAGTCGTGTGCCGTCAGGTCATGACATCACACCGTCGTGCTAAAGCTCAAACGAGACATTTCAAAATCCCCTCAGAGACAAAAAGAAGGACTCTCCGGAAAATTGCATTAGTCGTTGCACGCCTACACATACTGTGGGCTTTTCCAAGAACGAAGTTTGCCTGCCCACTTTTATATCTGGAGTGGAGACCACTTCTCTGATTGGCTCTCTGCTACCCCATAGATGTGGTGGGAATTCAATGACCTCAGCAGGAATGATTGCGTAAGAGCTTTTTTAGAGATGCGATTGGGAGACAATCAATTATGCTGCCGACAGGGTAAGTGCTCGGAGGTATGACTGGAGACACAGAAGGGCCCTGGAGCCAATCACTTCGGTGAATGGCTCCCTGCTTACCCCGCCAGAGTGATTGGGAAAGTCAAACACTTCTGTAGAAGAAATTGTTCAAGCATACGGAAATATGATTGGCGGAACAAAAGTGACCGGGAGCCAATCACTTATGCACCTGGCTCTCCAGTTGCTAGACAAAAAGGATTGGGGAAGCCAAACACTTCTGCATAACAAAGTTTCAACCCCATAAATATATGATTGGGAGAGCAGAAGTGACTGGAAGCTAATCATTCACGTAACTGCCTCTCTGGATACCCCACAAAATTGATTGGGGAACTCGGATGCTTTTGCCAGACATTGAATAAGTATTTAGAGACACAATCGGGAGATATACAAATTGCAGGAGGATGTTTAAGCTTCTCAATGAAAAGTGGAATGCGATAGCTAAATATAAACCCGTTTGTTTCCAAGCCATCCAAGCAGGTCTGCATGGCCTAGGGGGTAGCATGTATGGCTCGCAACCAAAAGGTCACAGGCTCGATCCTGCCTCCACCTAAAATTGTTCAAATTTTTTTCTTTGAGGTAAATGAATTACTTATAGATCAATCAGAATTTTTCTGTCCCGCCGACGCTAGCTTTTCTGCACAACGAGCTCATTAAAGCTCGAGCTTTAAAAAGTGACTGGGTACAAATCACTTATGAAGTGAATGGGAGAAACAAAAGTGATTGGGTGCTAATCATTTACGCAATGAGTAAGATATATGTGATTAGGTGTGAAAAACATACAAGCGATTGGGTACAAACCACGCATACAATATATAAGTGATTGCACGATAAGATTGGGAGACATAAAAGTGACTCCGTACAAGCCACTTATGAAATGACTGGGAGAGACAAAAGTGATTGGGCACTAATCACTTACACAACAAGTCAGAGGTATCAGATCAGGTGCAAAACACTTATGCAATTAGGGGGAAATGTACAAATGGTTGGGTACAAATCACCCGCTCAATACATAAAAGTGGTTGTGTGCTAAAAGTAGCTCATTCAACTCGCTTAACAACAAGGGGGTAAATTCCCGCGGAACGATGCGTCACCGACCACACTCGGATCCCAAAGCGCGAGAGAGCATTGCCATGTCGAGGGGGCCTTACGTGATGAGGGCGCACACAGTCCGCACCCCACAGAACGGCAGGTGCACGGAGGCGAAGGCCCGGCCCTGGTTGAACACCTCCGTCACTTGGGAGGGGAGGTAGGAGGCGCTCTGCATCAGGGCCTTGCCAAAGTAGCCCATCCAAGTGGCCGGCTCGTCCGACACCTTCCTGTAACGGGGAACCACACTTACTTCGTTGCCGAGACCGCGGCACTTGCAACACATCCCCAACTGGGGTGTTTAGCGTACTACACCACAGCCGAAACTGCTTTTGTTCCTTTTAGAAATACTTTTGAAGTTTTGGGTCGAAGGTGTTTCTTTTGCATGTTTCCCTGCATCAATGTCTCTCATTTATTCTTTTTTTTTTTTTACTGTTGTGCTAGTGATGTATTGCTGTTGCTAATCTGTGCATAAATGTTTTTCTTTTTTTGCCTTGTGCTGCATTGCGTGCTGCTAGACCTTGCCCCCAACGCAGGCCATTGGTACCCTGTCTGGCGACTTTGTTTCGCTTTTTGTACCTTCCAAGGAGAGTTCCTTCTCGCCTTGGAAAAATAAAAGAAATGACTGGCTTGATTGATTGAAAGACGACAGGGCAAGCTGGAGCCATCCACCTGTTGGGTACCCCTGAAAAACTTCCGATCTTTGTATAAATTATGCATCATTCTTCCACCGAGTGCTTGAAATAAACCTGACAATATCATAAGAGACCATTCTCCCATAGTCGGTCGGAGGCCCATTTTAAGCTCCGCGAAGAGACAGTGCAAGGCCGAGAGAAACACTGCATCGTCGACGACGAAGACCGTCAAATCTGGGATACCCAAGAATGGTCCTGCCCTCGTAGTCAGCAGCCATTAGACCTGCTTAAACAAACTGTTTGCTGGTACGCCTTCACCAAAACATAAATATGACTAGTTTCGGAGTCTCAAAGCTTGTGTCTCGAGGTACAAATCGTACGGCACAAATGCTGCTGGCTTTCGTTTGTCTTTGGACACACTGTAGTCTGGTGCAACATAAGATCTGCAGTAGAAACTCTACCTCTCTGCCTCCTCCACTGTCAGCTTCCTGCCCTCAATGACACTCCTGATGATTAACGAGCATGCACGGCCGAAGGAGGACAGAAGCCAATCTCGTCGCACAAATACCACACGCTTTAGTTTGTCTTTGGACACACTCAGGGGTGAATGCCACGGAGGCTGCCCAAGAAGCACAAGAGGCTTTCGAGCAGGGACTCACACTTCCTTGGGGTCCTCCAGCTTGAAGATGTGGACCGTCTCAGTGTTGCTCGAGGCACACAGGAACTGAGAGTCTGCGCTGAACGACAGCGAGCAGATGCTCACGCACCTGCAGCAATGCAAAAGACCCGCAAAGCTCGTCACAACGTAAACGCTTCGAATGGCATGACATAACACTTTGACTTCAAAACACCTCCGTGGCATGTCGTAGCTAGTTCCTGCTCACAACGGTTTCCAACTGCAGGAACCGTGCCACGAGCAGTTAAGAAACTACAGGGTGCCCACGGCGTTTCCTACGAGGAAAAACGAACCGGAAAAAATCGGCGCCTGCACACACACAAATCAAACTTCCACGAAAAGTGCATTCCGGTGGTGGATTTGACCTTGTGAAATTGTCAAGCGTTCTTCTCTTCTGGTAAAAAACGTAGACCAACAAGCTGCCAATGTCACCGGCGGACACGTACGCAGACGACCGAGCTAGCAATGAATGTAACTTGTGGTGCCACCTCCCGATAGGCAGAGCTGGAGTGCCTTCGAGTACGCTTTGCGTAGGGTGATGACACATAACCGTTTTGTTTCGAACGCTTATTTAACTTTTATGTCCGGGAGCATGTGAAAGAGCGTCTTGCGCCTCCTGGTCTTGACTGTTCCACAACAGCAGCTTGTTTCCAGCAATTTCTTTGCATTTTTCCTGCGAGCACGTGCTGCGACGGGGATCTATAAAGAATGCATCACCCTAAACGGAAGGACATGGAGGCACCCTAGGTGCAGCGAGCAGAGAACAGAGTGTGTTACCTGCTGAATGCACGTTGAATGAACATTTAGTGTGAATTTTCTATGAGCATGTGCCGATTTTTTCGGTCCATTTTGCAGCGTAGGAAACGCTGTGACCACCCTATAGTCTTGCAAGTTGAAACATGGTTGCAGTTGTTGCGCACAAACTTGGATACGTAAACTAGCCGAACGCACGGCGAGAGGTTGTGCGACCCTGAGGCATACAAAGGAATGTGCTTTACACACTTGCAAGCACCACGCGCAAGGGTATAAGTATGACGAGAGCATTGGTGCAATAAAAAATTTCCTACAATTTTAACCGTTGTGTTTTCATAGAAAATGCCTTCGGTCAAAACTGCAAAATGCATAATTGTACAATACAAAAATAGGTTCATGTATCTGCCATATGTTACTTTCGTTTAAGGATTTTGTTTCAGGGGGGGGGGGGGGGGGGGGGGGGGGGGCACTCATGACAAAATGCTGCATGAGGGGGAGGGGGAGAGGAGGCCCCAGTAAAATGGAAGATTTTTTTGGGGGGGAGGGAGGGGGCCGCCACTGGCTATGTGCCTTAGTGACGCATGGCAATAAATAAGAAAAAATATTTAGGAACCCTCAGCCCCCCTTTAAACGGCACTCTGAGCGCACTTCCTATCTACGGATGCCGGCACAACCTAAAAAGTATTTGTCGAGACAGGGCACTTCACCTTTTCATGCCTCTCCGAAACTCGTACAGCTTCAGACCGTCCGACACATTGAAGACCCGGATCACTGTGCCCTGCAAAACCAAAAGCCATACCATCAGGGTCAGGCTAAAGCAGCAGGGCACGCTGTCTGCAAACACTCGGTCTAACAAACGGTAGAACGCCACCGGCAGGACTGAACATGCTCGACTTATTTCCGAGGCAGACTATGCCGTTACTAGTTTTAATATATATATATATATATATATAAAAAAGGGGGACAGTTCAATATCTTAGGCAAATGTTACGGATTAAAAAAACGGGCACGAGATGGCCAAAAATGCACGCTTTTCAGTAAGGCTCGTCAAATTATGAGGCACTGAAGAAAACCAGCCTTCTACGTTTAGTCCTTATTTTGAACTCCTTTTCCTCACGTTCCGCCCATTGAAAAGCATGTGGGAAGTGCCTCAGCATGCACCTCGTATCGCTGCGCAGCAGTGTTCTTCCGTAGCATAAAGGCCGCGACAGCCTTTATGGCGACCATGGCAATGAACGCCGAATGACCTTTTCGGATGGCGCATGTATCCCTAGAGAGTGTGTTAACACCCCCCCCCCCCCCCCCCCCCTGCATTCACGCCGCTTCGCGGCGATAGTCTGCGGCTGCTCATTACAAAACTATTAAACTTTGGCTAGCAGACTGCGTTCGAAAAATCTATGTTCGTTGCCATGGTGACGGCAATGAGAGCAGACGGCCTTTATGCTCTGGAACAACACCGCGGCGGAGCAATACGAGGTGCGTGCCGAGGCCCTTCCCGCATGCTTTCTAATGGGCAATGGGCAAAACATGAATAAGAAGAGTTTGAAATAAGGACTAAACACAGAAGGCTAGTTTTCTCCAGCACCTCGTAATTTTACAAGCCTTACACGAAAAGCATGTTCTTAGACCGAAGTTTGGAGATAGGTTTTTTTGCAACAACATGGGTCTAAAGTGCCAAGAAAAGATCTATTGTTGATTGGTTGGCCAATTGGCAGTCCAAAAGACGTGTGCTACCGGAGGCTGCCAAGCTTTTATGCTCTGCTGCGACTAAGCGGGAGAATAGCATGACCAGTTTTGTATACAACAAATTCACTTTATTTTTGCTTTGTTTTGGGGGAAAACCTTAAAATTTGTTCTCAAGCTGTTAGTTAATTTTTAATACAGGTTGCACGTATCCAAACTGCTCGGCGTACTTCTTGGCAAGGAAGCCAGTAGGCAAAAGAAAAATGAGACAGTAAATAAATAGACTCCTCCATCGTTACCGTTTAAAAGCAGTAAGGTACAACTTAACTCCTGGAGAGCTTGTCTAAAGACGTGCAGACTTTCTTACGACGGAGAGAGTACACCGTGGAATGCGTGCCAATTTTTTATGAAGGTTATAGGTGCTGCCATCTATCAAACACTACGCCAAATACGCTTAGGTTGACGCAAATTAATCCCTGGAGAAGGGGAACAAAGGACAAACACCGATCTCCAAACACAACTAGGGGACTGGTGCATGACCAAAAAAATTTGCCTGGTCCTGGTATGGAACCAGGGGCCTATCCATTTCCAGTGGAGTGCTCTACCAACCGGCGAAATAATTTAATTGCTTAGTCATCCCGTTCTGGATAATGGGTGGTTGTAAGTGTTGGAAAAGTTTTGACAGACGCGGAAATCGAGGCGTCGCTTCAGCGAAGCAATGCTGATTTCTTGGAAGTGAGTACATGCTCGGCGACAGCAAAACCTCAGAAATATTTACGATAGCATTATATTTATTTTTAAAAATTCATTTGCAAAACACCTGCCATGACCTACCATACAAAGTCAAACATGTACAGATAAGCAGTGTCTCCCCTTATCTATACTTAAAGCACAAGAAGATGTCACATGCAATTCATTTACACTAAATAGACCGATTAAAATTTTTGTTCGTGCAAAAATAATGTTTTACATTTTCTAGTTAAAAAAATCTTTCCAAAACATAATTGCAAAAGAAAAACACACACACACACCGTTCAAGGGGTTAGAACACCATGGGAAAACAAATGAATGCTGTACAGTGTACCGCATACAAAGCTTCTGATGTTATTATGTAGAAGAAAACAATAAACAAATGAACTCTTACTGTTTTTCTCGAATCCAGTAAGGTACAACTTCAAGCACTACCGGTAGACAAATGAATAGGCGACAGGTCACATTTCCGAGGACGTCCTATTAGGTAATGCACGCTTCAGCGCATTGGGGCCGGCGGCCTACGCAATGCCTCGCCGCACAGCACGGGTGTGTCGGATGATTGAATAGTGGAGCGATCAACAAGTTCGAGCCGAGAACGGAGAGCTGCCCACCTTCTCGGAAGCGGTGGCGATTAGCGTTCCGGCAGTGTTGAACGCCAGCGCTGCCAGTGGACTGTCGTGAGCCGGGATCATGACCTTTGCTTGCTGCGAAGAGTGAAACGCGACGAGAAAAAGCAGGGTTAGCTCGGACAGTCTACAAGAAAGATCTTAATCCCGCTTATTAAAGGCCGGTTTACATTTACGTTAGAGCGTGATGGACTACGTTGCAGTTACTTACAAGGAGAGACCCCCTGGTGCCACTATCTGGTAGTTTCTGGAGCACTTCTGATCCCCACATATTTCTGACCTTTTCATGCGTTGTTCCTTTAACATGGGCTCGAAAGAATTGTGGCAACGTTATGAACAACTGTTTGTCATGGATAGCGCATAGATTTGACCTTACAAATACTGCAAAACATTCCGTCCAGTATAGCCAGATAAGAAATGGTTCCAGGGCCTTCCAAAAGATGGGTTTTCTCGTAAGCCATTGCAAGTGAGAGTAATGCAGTTGGCCACGCTGAAACACGAACGTGCGAACCAGCCTTTAAGTACAGGCCCCGGGTAAACAATGCGACGACCTAAACTGAATGCAAGCGTTCCCAGCTCACTGTTCTTAAGATAGAGCAGCTCACAGAAGCCTGTAGTCAGTACTACGCACCTCGGGTCTCAAATGTGCGGACCGCCCCTCGCTGGTACGTGGCTGGGAGCCCCCGTTCCCACGTGTTGAGAGCAACGACACACGCCAGAATCGTCTCGTGTCGTCGATTCATTTCCGCTCGAAACATAGCTGTGCTCCTTTACTTTTCATCTGCCTTGCATTTGGTTTAGTGGCATTAAGATGGCAAAAAGCTGAAAAGCTTTTCGTCATGTTAATCACTTGTACAGGCAACTCCTTTACTATTCCCGCCTTCCGAAAATATCACCATTAAAGTTACAAGATTATCCGAGACAGCTGCTGTTTAAAATCGTGAGAAAAACAAAAACAACCATATGAAGAATTTTTTTTTTTTGGGGATGTGTTAAGTTTGATTCATTTCCGAGTGAATTGAACAACGGGAACGACAGTGCGACTGCTTTTTTGTTCCATTAAAGAATGCCAGCAGGTGGGCACGCCGGCATTATTTTAACTCGTTATCCCAACGGGTAAGAGCCCAAAGTAGTCCTATAAACAAATCAAAGTCGAAGATATCAATGGCAATACTTCAAGTTTACAAAAAGCAGAAGGCACGAAGTTCCTTTTTTTATGCAGCAATGCACGACACACCTAAGCTCAAATGGTGCCCAGACAAGAAGAGCAGCTTAGTTTAGCGGTTCGGGAAACCCCAGGATCCCCAGAAACTGAGTTTGACAGCCCGTCACGTGTCGATCCCCGAAGTTGATCTAACAAGCTGCAGTTGATTGCAAGTTTGGTGCCAGTGGCACGACGACGCCTTATTAACTCGTTTCTGGCAAAGTCGAGAGCCTGGGTTGAATAAAGCGAAAGGCGCAAGGTCCCGACAAAGAGGTCCGCAACGCTACGGCTTTTGGAAGACGTCTTTGACTGATGCACTCAGCGCCAGACGCTGCCCGTGGACCCAAAGCGGTCCCAAAGTGAGGATAGATTACGTTGCGGGAGCTGGCATGCAGCGCCGGTGAATGTCACCCTCCCGGCGGTTTGTCGTAAAAGTTCCGACAAAAAGGACGAGCGAACGCGACTGCCGCTGCCGCCGCGGAAGCGTACCAACGCGTGGCTACTCAAGCTTCCGAGGACTTCCAGGCCAGAGAGCTTGACGGAGCTGGACACAGCAGAAAGTGCTACTGCTGCGTCCACCTCTGTTGCTGAGTTACCGCCAGGATTGTGACAGACAACATCGTAACAAAAGTGCAATGTCATTGGGCGGAACTCGAGGCAAGGGAAACGAGGACGCAATAAGTGCACCAGTTAGAACCGCGTTCGAGGTACCGTATCGACGCGAAAAAAAACGTTGCGCCGCAAGGCTACGACGATGGCAAGATGGCGACTGCGACGACTCACGAGGTTGGAGGCGTCGAAGATCTGGACCTCCCCGATCTTGTCCGAGCCGGGGTAGGCAAGGTAGCAGTTCTCGTTGGAGATGGACAGGGCGCACAGGCCTCTCGGGTTGGGGGGAGTCTCGCGGATTGTGTGCATCACCTTCTTGAGCAAAAACAAAACGCATATTTTGCCTGAGTCACCCGACCTTCTGCACGATTCGCAAGGCATCGTCGCCGACAAAGCCGGCTTGAACACACGCACAGATACGCGCAAGGAAGAGGCGCATGCGCGGAAGACTTCTTCCTTGCGTGCATTCATGTGCAGGTTCGAATTGGCCCCTTCAACGATGTAACAAACCGAAAAGTCTTTCGCAGGTTTAGAAGAGCGAGACAAACCTCTTCACTTGCCACAATTGATGGTTTTCTCCTCTCCATCATTCACGGTGCTAAAGTGGAGAGAGTGGATGGAGGGCTTTATGGGTGGAGCTTGTGCTGCTGTTCTAAACTTACAGCAGACTATAGGTCAGTGCAAGTTTCAAGACGCTCAGCTGTTCGAGAAGGGTGTTCTTAAAAAGATTGCACAACGTTTCTTAATAAGCACTTGTACTCATCTCTCATGCAATTGCTTGTCATCTACGAAAACCTATAGTTGGTGACAGGCAATTGCTTCGCTAAAGTGGAAAGAGTTAGAGGAGCTTCTCCTGCATTCTTAACCTGTCACCAACTATAACCCTCCTCTTACAAAAAAAAAAAGAAAAGAAAGTGCTGACAAAGCTGAAACTCACTTTTCCATCTAAATTACATTCCCAGAAGCAGTATAACTTTCGTTGGGAGCTTAAGGGCGGAACTATGATGGAGTATTACTATGTGGATTTTTGAGGGATCGGGCAGAATTGTTCTACACATTAGAAGACAATGAAGAGCATGTTGAAGAACTCAGCATCCACAAAGACATTTTTGTAGAATTCCACCTATCCAGAAAATTGCACCGATGAATGTCCTGATTAAAGAAGTTTTACCGTACAGCGATAGACAATTTCTGGCAGTAGCCTGGTAAAACCTGATGTCATGCATAGAATATCTTATTAGGCCGGTAAATATCAGTGCAATCGCTCGTGTAGCGAGACTTGTACCGTGACTTCCGACAAGAACGCCATTGGTTGTTGCCATGGTCACAGAGCGAGGTATGTGACCATGGCGACAATGAGGAAGCCCTGTTGCGCCGGTGACACCATATAGTGCTGTTCTCTCAGCCATAATGCTTTTACATCTAACATTTTCACCAAGTCACCCTAGCCAAAAACATCTACCGTAAAGTTCCGAAAGAACGTCCACCCAAATGAAGAGCTAAATGGTGAAAAACATGGGGTGGGCTATCTTTGGGGATGCCACAGCAAAACTGTGATAAACACGGGGCACCTGCTAAAAACCATGTGATGCGGGAACTGATACTCCAGATCGCGGACAACGCAAATTCGCATTTCACGATGCGATAAACACACAGGAATTCGCTACGAACTCCTGTGTGATGGGAAAGGATACTGCAGGTTGCGGACGCAGTAAATTCACGTGTTACAGTGCGAAGGACCCGCGGAAACCTGCAGAAAACTCTCTTCCCACGGGAATGAATACTGCAAATTGCAGACGTAGCAGATTCAGGTTTTATGGTGCAATAAATATGCGGGAACTTGCTGCAAACTTGGCTGTCACAGGAACCGATATGCAGGCGCAGATTGGGGACAAAAACGCGGGAATCCACTACGAACTCTTATGTCATGAAAATGAATACCGCAGGTTGCGGACGCAGCAGATTCACACTTCACGATGCAATATACATGCGGGAACAAGTCGCGTGTTACGGGACCCGATATCGCACGCGGAGATCACTGACAAAAACACGGCAACCCACCATGAACTCGCTTATCAGACATACCGGTACAGCAGATCGTGCGGCAAATGCAATTCCAGTCGGACATCGCGTGACGTCCGATGGGAATTGGGGGTGGGTGGCCGATGTTTCGGAATTTTTATGCGAGATATTTAGCAAGAAAAATGGGATGGGTGATCTTTCTGGAGCGAACGCTCCCTCGGAACTTTACGGTATGTTAAAAAAATATTAATGCATCTCAATCCTACAGATCGCAGCATGTGCGGCATAACCTTAGCCATGCTGACAGAAACACAAATTTAGCATGAATTTAGCGACGCCGCATTACGTGACATAATTTCACATAAAGTGACAGTGATATCATGTGACAAGATGTCCCCTTTCGACACCATGATGTAATGCAACACCAGGACATCTCGCGACAGTCCGACACGTTGCATCACGTGATTCGGTGCCACTTGGCATCATCACATCATAATGTCACGCGACACTGTGTCATCCTTGCCACATACCCGACATCACGTCACGTGACTTACTGATATCATGGTATCATGTAACACTGCATTCCCCAATATGCGTCGTGCGACACCACATCGCTAAATTTAACGAGACACGAGTCCGCGAAATTTGGCAAGCAGCGTTTTTTTGTGGCATCGCGTAACGCTTTCTTCGGCCATCCCAGCCCCTAAACAAGCGCAACGCTAGAGAAAGCCGCCTGTACCGACCTTCATGTCGCGTATGTTGTGTATGTAGAGGCTTTCCTCGAGGCAGACGACCAGGCGCACTCGGTTGAGGCGCACGGCCAGGATGCTGTTGGAGTAGGAGTAGTTGCAGATCTCCGAGCCCTTCTTGAAGTGGCACACCTTCAGCTTGCGGGCAGACGATGCCCCGACCAGGGCCACCAGGCTCGAGGAGAACAGCCGCTCCACCAGGCATGTCCCCTCCGTCTCTGCGGCGGGAGTTGGTGAACATTCAGTTTCGTGTTTGGGGCCAATAGACCGCTTCCAAAACCCTGTCAAGCAACATTGGTACGATGATTCACGGGGGAACTCATTCTCATTCGAGGCTAGAACAGGAGTGTTGAGGACTAGGACATACAGGACAGAGTATGAGGAAATGAATATGTGGTGTGCTGTACGCCAAGGGGAAGACGAGACAGTAGAACATGTGGTGTTAAGGTGCACAGGGCTTGTTCCCGCCCTCCCCAAGGAGCGACAAATTTAGCCGGAGCACTGAGGTTTGCAGACGAGATTGGAAGAATGAATGATAAATGCATTTCAATAACAAGGAAGAGATTGGAAGGCTGGTGGAAATTATCTAGGGAAAATTTAATGGTGCACAACTAACTAACACAGCTGGAAACAGGCGAGACAGGCAATGTTTTCTTTCTTTTTTTGACCGATCCCACAAAGGTCATATTGGTGATATCCCGCACCGTTTGGTGATAGTTACTAAGTTGCAGAGGGGAAGCTAATTGGCTTAGAAAGGCAAAGAGAGGAATCAAAATTTTGGTTTTTAGTTTCTAGGCCAGGTGGCGCAAGCTACCACCCGTTATAAAAAGTACAGCCATTAGCAGAGCCGTATATGTAGAGAGTTTGGCCATTCGTTGGGAAGTATAGGAGACAAATGAGGAGGCGCCATTGGCCGAAAGCGGGCTGGGCATGTTCCAGGGCGTCTTCAGAAATGCGAATGTGACCAACCAGAAGCCGGAAATAATACCCTGGCGGTGGTCGCGAGAAACGAACCTGATAACTGCATTGGAGCAACTCTCGATGGCTGAAAATATGGTACACATGATATTTCAATCACGCTCATCAAAAATGATGGTGGAAGAGTGTAACTAGCGGAACGATTGGCATAATCTGTACGCCAAACGCCGAGGGCCGGGAATCTGCCGTCCGAGCGGTCACACTCTGTCCACGCAAAACAGAGTTGAGCGGCGCATTCGTTTCTTACATCTTTCTGCCTGATCATGATCAAAACAACACGTGGACCCTATTTTCAACCACAAAGAGTTACTACACTTCACTCTTACGCACTTATTAAAATCATATACGAACATAGACTTTCGATCAGAACTGTTTCTCGCTACCACCGCCAGGGGATTCTTTTCGGCTTCTGGTTGGTTAAGAGAGCATGCCAAGCCCTCTTTCCGAGTCTGCCGCACGCCCTGGCCCTGCCCACGCCTCCCATTGACCAAACTCTCTAAATATACGGCTCTGGCCATTAGTATTGATCCATCCATGGGACATGAAGTGTGTGATTGGATCAGAGTCCTTGTCGAACACCGATGCAGTGCTCATTTTCGATATGAGCAGAATTTACGCCGAACGCCCCTGTGTCCAATGCGTTGTCATAGTAGTATGTGCCAGGCACGTAGCCAGGGGGGAGGCCCATGGGGCCCGGCCCGGCCCGGCCCGGCCCGGCCCGGCCCCCCCCCCCCCCGAAATTTTCCATTTTGCTGGGACCTCCGCTCCCCCCCCCCTCCCCCCCCCCCCCGAAACAAAATCCTGGCTACATGGCTGGTACGTGCCCAAACGATGGCAGGCCCGGATAACTGGCTCAGCAGCCAATAGATAGCGCACACTTTTTAAAACAGTCTGTTAGAGTGGCGACAGACATGGCTGGACTTGAACAGTGTCCAGAGCACAGCCTATGCTCAGAGCATCACCAACTCTGACCACCCGAAACCGGGAAGAGAAAATTAACTTGCAGTGGGTCGGTAAAAATGATTTGAAAGTCATGAAAGAATAAAAAGAGTGTGTAGGGACGAAGACAGAAAGTACAGTTCTTGTTGGTTGCTACTTGCAAGCGTATTACCGTCCGTGTTCATCCGTACATGTGTCATCCCTCCACATTCTTCAAACCGGGAAAAGAACAACTGGTCGTCAGTTGAGGTTGACACAGCTCAATTTAAAACCTGAGACTACAGTAGTACAAGGCCCTTTTTGCTACTAAGAATGCGCCCAAAACATTGCAACACGCCCTGTTTTTGAGCTGTGTCCCAAAAAAAGGGCCTGATGAGACGTTTGGCTGCAATTTGCCATGCTCTCAAAAAAGGGGCCTGTGATGTTAGGTCGTGATTTGCCATGCATGACTATAATTTTGAGTTTTTTTAGGGTGCTTAGGGCATGCAAGTCAAGTTCAAGCCATAAAAGAGACCCTCGAAATCCACTCAAACGCCACATTTAGGAGCAGCTAACAAGGTATTCATGCGTGCCAACACGGCCCAACTATCACTCGTCTCGGCATGCGGGATTTAACAGCACCTTAGTACCTATCGGCTGGCCTCCTTTCATCTTTCACGGACTCATTTGGGTGTAAAGCGGTCTGCCAAGGCCAATTTTCGCACTCTACCAAAACCAGTACGCACCATTTTCATAGATCTGTTCGAGTCTGTCGATGTTGGAGAGCGAGAAGAGCTTGTACCCAGTCGCGGTGCCGACTGCTAGAGATCTGAAACGGACACAAAACAGAATGCTGTGAGGAAACTCATAAGAGAGGCCAACAGGCATTGGCCCTTTGAAGGAACAGCATAAGTCGGTGTCTGAACGTATTGCATTACAATTTCCGTTAGAGGTGACCATTGCTGGGGAATTTTCAGTACCAAAGTTCGAAAGAATGAACATATCAGAGTAAAAAGTAAGAAAATAAGAATGCTTTTTCCCAATTTACCTTGCCCGTCTGCAAACGACCCACATCTGATTGGAACATCAGCCAACGGTTGGAGGCAGCAATCCGAAAAGGGAATCCACACAGCCGATGTAATTCGACAAACCATTTTTTTTTTAATTGTTTTGCTTTTATTTAATTTTTTTTTTTTATCAGTAAGAATGAATAACTTGTGCAGTTAAAGCTAACACTGCTGCCGTCATTGTCTATTTCACATTCAGACATGTGTCGTTTGCAGACAAACACCGTAGGTAGAGAAGGACATCCCTATTTTCGTAGTTTGCACTCTGGTAAGTTAATTCTGTACATACACATATCAACTAACACACATGGGCCCATGTATGTTACGTGCTAGAACTTCCGGTAGGCATATGAGGATACTGGGAGTTGAAGATAAGACAAAGCTTTCACAATGAAAGCGAACGTGGCCTCCTCGGTACTTGGAATGAAACTACCACAGCATCTTATCAGAGATACCGTCCGATAGCCTACAATGAAATCACTCAACGAGATCCCAACAGCACTTAACAAGCGACAATGTTTTGCATGGACATCCAACTTTTTTGCTTGGCTAGAGTGCCTTCATACAAACATCAGCTTTTGCATGATGATGACATGTCGGCCATTTTACCATCCAATTGCTCTCCATGTTCTATGTGAGCCTTGAGTATTCTGGCATCTATACACCTTTTTAAAAAAAACCTGGCCTTCAGAGGCAACAAACCGTTTTCGAGCCTAGTCACCGAGTTTGAGGCTAGACTCTCACCAGCGTCCCTCCTAACCCTGAGCGGACTGTGATTTCAATAGGCGCAGTTTCAAATGCTGCTGGCGGCTAAATTCTCGTCTTTTCCCGCTATATTTTGTGTTTCATGGTATATGTATTTTCAAGAGGGCATTGAGAAAGCATTGTACCACATCTGAAAAAAAAAAAAGCGAAAAAAAAACCTGTAAATTATTTTTGTTGGGTACGCGCACGACAGAATGAATGCGACTGGAATGTATATAGCTCTAGTTATTTGTGTTTTTTTCTTACAAGTTTTGACGGCGTAACGCAATTCGCCGCATGTGAAACGACAAAGCGCTTAGCTGTCAAAAATAAATTGTAACAGAAGATAGCCGAAAGGCATGCATTTTTCAAGCCCACAAATAATGTGTTTACCAATGGACAGGACACGGACATACAATTTAGCATGTGTTAACATTCAAACAATATATTTTTTTTGTACCAGAGGATGCAGCGTTATCCGAAAAGAATTTATTTGAGAAAGATCTCAAATAACACAATCACAGTCGACCACAGTCACACCTTGACGATCGGACGAAATCCAAGATGACTTTATTTTGGGGCACGTTTTGGGGAGAGTTTCCTTTTTTCAGAACAGCACCAAGGCAAAGGAACGAACGCGACTGACCCGTTTCTCACCCCAACCCGGACAACTATTTTTGAAGATGACTGAGGATTCTACGCGGATTATCTCTGGGAGGGGGGAGAACAATGTTCGCAAAATCGCGTTGAGGGTCGTTCGACGTCCTTCACCTCCTTTGTTTCCTGAGAATGTCGAGCAGAAAAACTTGAATGGCAGGCACTTACTAGCCTTATTTCTCAGATTGGAAGGTAACACAAAAAGAATATGCAGCACGCATAAAAAGAAATTAAGTAGAAACATTCAAGAGGGGCGAGAAAACGTTGAATGCAAAACCGCAAAAACGTAGGTAGAGAACCGAGCTGAGCGGGTCTTCACAGTCCAAGAAAGTTGCAAAAAATTTCTAACTGATAGAGGGCGCGAGAGTCGCACCAGCCGCATCAGCATCAGCAACATGGTGGAGGCCTAGGAGCGTTTTTTTGGAAAGGTATATAGGGGCAGCCACGTTGCCATGGCTAATGCTTCTAAACCTTTCCATGGATCAAAGTTAGCAACATGTAAGTTTTGTGTGCACTGACAGTGATGCTGTCAGTGCACACAAAACTTACAACAAAGTGTGTCTCGACCTTTGAACTTTGAAGTATCCTACACCAAGTTGTGTTGAACATTCCCTAAGAGAGCAAACTGTGTACATTGCAAGGCAAGCGTGATTGCAGTCAAGAAACACTAAGCATTGTTTCCAAGAGGCTTACCTAATTCTTTGGAATTCAACAAGTATCTGCCTCCAGTAATTGTGGAAAAGGCAGGCATATGTTTCCACGAAACACAGCCAACAAATTTTATGAATGGGCCGTTTCCGGAGTTTCCACGGCGCATGCGCGGTAGCAGCAGACAGGAGTCCACCATGTTTGGTGGCGTGGTACGTCAGGCTCGGGGCTGCAGGAGGCAGCGGTGGTCGCGCGTTTCGAAGCTCTCCGACAGGCCCTAGCGCTGTTTCGTTGTTGGCTGCAGCAACGACAGCAAGCGTTGTCGCGGTTTAAGCTTCATTGGGTTTCATTCTACTAGCCTGCACTCGACGAAGCGGCAGCTCTGGATTCGGGCGATCCAGCGAAACAATGCGGACGGCTCGTAAAGGCAGCCTTCAAAGTGCTCCGGCGTTTGCAGTTGCCACTTCAAGGAAGGTTCATGTTTTTGTTCCTTCATTTTTTATTTGTGTGTGAATACAAGTCAGCAGATTGGTTAGGTATGCTGTCATGTCGCTTATGTGCCACGCAGAGCGAGCGCCTCGGGGTTGGCGTTTCTAGGATAGTGCGTTTCACTGGCAACGTTTTTGTTTACCAATGTGAAGGTCTCGCGTTACTACGCAAACTGCCTGTCCGCTTTTTGGTTGTTGTAAACATTGGAATAACCCACAGTTTTCAGATATTTATAAATCATTGAGGTAAAGTGGCTATGCTGTAGAGTTTGTTGTTACGTGCACACCTAGAAAGTGAATATGGGAGCAGATCTATTGCGACCAAGACCGCATCTGCTGGTCTTGTGGTTAAACAAGAAAGAGGAAACAATCATCTTGATGTGTTGTCCTCGTGTTTGCATCGAGTAAACAAAAAGATAAGTTTGCAACATTGTCTACAGGAGCTAAACTAAAAGTAAAGAAAAAAAAAGCAAACAGGTGTAGCAGATTTTGTGTTTTTCTTCAGGACCTACAGTCACACACAGCTGTAGCCTGAAGTGGGGTGACATCAATGACGAGGCTCGCTCAGAAATCGGTGGCTGCACGTATTAATCTTAGATATTTATTAAACATGTATTTTAGTGGTGAATTTTACCTTCTGAAATTTCAAAGTGGTGCTTTTTTCCAGTAAAAAACGAGACCAACAGACTCGCCAGGGTCAGCGGCGCTCGCAAACGACATTTAGTATAGTCACTCAACAAGTCCGCCGCTGACCCGTTCAAATTTGTTGGTCTCATTTTATAATAGAAATGGAGCTATACGTTGAAAATTTAACAAGGTGAAATCCACCACTAAAATACATCTTTGATGAGAATTACACTGGTATGTTCAGGCGCCGGTATTTTTCGGATGGTTTAGAGTAAGCTTTCACATTTATAAGAATACATCTTGCCAATTAAAATTTTCGAGCAAATTAAACAAATAGCTTGCAATTAAAAAAAAGAGCTTTCCTTAACTGTACCTTGGTCTCGAATATTTTCTGAATTTACTGCCGGTAATGCATATGAGATGAATCCTAGTTTAATGTAACCGTTTTCACTTTCTCATAGGTCGAAGAGAGCTTCAACGGTGTCGTCAGTCACAACGGGTGCCACAGCAAAGTCAGTCGTCCATTTATTCGGGAAAAAAATGTACAAACGGACGAAGTCATCCGTAGTTAACGCATTAATTGAAAACAAATCTGCTCGTCGATTGTGTTGAATAGAGGAAAAACAAGCGCTGAGCAGTGAGCGCATTTCCCGACCGCGTTCAGTCAGCCAACATAGCTTGGAGAGGGCAGAACCGGAAGCAAGGCAGGCCACCAAAAAGGCCACTCCTGCTTGCCGATAGATGGCGCCCAACATTTGCGGAAAAGGCCTATTGTGAAGGGACTTTGATATTTTCTTTTTAACAACGGAAAGTAGAATATCTGTCCTTACCGCTTTGATGAAAGGAGGCATCCTTGCTCAGAAAAGTGTAAAGTTCATTCAAGCATACATTGAAATCTTGACATATGACATGACATCTTTTGTCAAGCTCCGAGGTTCGTTTTTTTCTATGATTACATCATACAACTCATCTGCAGCAGGATGTTTAATGCATTACTTTTATACATTAAATACCTTGCAGTTGCAAACACACACACACAAAAAATATATATATCGATGCATAACTAGGTCAAAAATTTCTAGCAATCCTTTCTATCCATGACAGCAATATTATTAAAATTTGGGCAAAACATCCACCTACAGCGCATCAAAGCTTCAACGCAATACGGCGGATGTTTCTTTTTTATTTATATTATTACACATATCCAAATAGAAGAGCAAAGGTCAGAGCGCTGAAAATAAAATCACTCAGAATTTTTTTTTTTTTTTTTTTTTGCAATTCTGACAACGAAACAGGGAAAAAGACATCCACGGCTCGTTTGAGCAGACGAAAAAGAAACGTATCAGAGCAGACGGCGCGGATTACGAAACAACGGCTCTGTTGCGGGATCACGCGACCGACCCATAGAACACAACCACGCACCAACAAACTAAAAATAAAAAAAAAAAGCTAACCAAAAACGCAAGCACAAACACTGCGATAACAGCTGAGCCTGAGCTGACCTAGCTCCCTTATGCAACGGCGAGAAGTTGACGTTTCCCGCCCCGTAACTATCCGCCAGGCTGTGGAAACGACGACGTTTCGACCGTTTCGACGGCAGAAAAAAACTTCTGCCAAGGCTAAGCAGACCCGCTGGCCAAGTCATTCGCGCAATCCAAGGCCACCAGTCCCAACGAGTCGGCCTCAAAAACTATCACCTTGGATGCATTACACCTTGCTCTCGAAGACGGTCAGCTGTTCGCGCCGTGCCCTCTCTCAAACACGACGGGGAAAAAAAAAAAGAAAAATCGAAGCGGGAGACGAGGGAAGTATCATAAACGTCAAAGGACGACAAGATAAATAAACAGACCTCGAGAGTGAAAAACCTCCGCTACGCCTTATGATCACAACGAGGTATTTCTGTGCGTTTTGGTGCAAACGTAGTGGACCGGGGGTCAGCGCGATCGATTGAAACGTCCTACGAAGCTGGCGTTGTCTAATAAATGAGAGGTTGTTGTGGTTTGGGAAATGGGTGGCGAATTCGGTTTGGGTGAAAACAAATTCACCATCTTGGAGGTGAAGTGCGGACGGCTTGTAGCTTTGAGGGGGCGTACAGCGCGCATCTTCGAAGCTAGCGATGATTCATACCAAACGAGCCTCCGCGATGACAAGGATATCGCCAACACGGGAACAAAGAAAACACACTGTGTCCGGTTCGTGCTCCAGCTATGTGCGGATGTTTCGGCGGACCATGGGAGACGCGGTTGCGAAGAACAGGGCTACGCCTACGATTACAACACCGAGCGACGCGAAGGTATATGTTTGTTTGAATTTTTTTTGTTGCGCTGTTCGTTTCCACTTACGTGCAGTCTTGGTTGAAGTTGACGAACACCGCGTTTGGGGGGTCACCCCCCTCGGACGCTAGATTCATGAGTCCTCCGACGCCGTGTTTGACTCCCTTGCTCAGGTGGTTCAAGTTGGCGGCTAGATTTTGCATGGACGCATGCCCGCGAAACACACAGAAGCCGCTCGGTCGCACCACATACACACACGGGCACAAGCGGCCATCAGCTGAGCGGAGCCTGTGAGGGGCCCCTCTGCTGTTTTGATTACGATGGCTGCTCGGGCAGCCAGAATGCCAGGGTCGTTTTGCGAGCTCCTATTGGATGAGTCCACTGTGACGTCACTGACGTCATTGAGTAGACGTCTTTTTAGACGACTACTGAAGCGGTTTTTCTAGACACCATTTTTGAGCTGTTGTATTTAGGGAGTTAGTTCCACATTCGAAATTAATTCATAGTTTAGCCTGTGTTTTGTTTTAAATAATGTCAGGTGGTCTAAAAATGATTTCTCGTTGGCCAGCTTTAATTTTCAGGACTTGTATGCTGATTTTCTTTTTTATTTCCCAAGCCATCGTTGGTTTCGGTTCGGGTCTTTGCGGGCTTTGCAGCGCCAGGGTTGCATTCATTAGATATAGATGGCAGCAGCTGGCACGAAAATCACCAAAATCTCGAAGTGAAAGCGATTGCACAAAAACAACATAAAACAATGATAAATGAATTTTCGCTACTTCAGTAGCACCGTTGGTAGCTTGTAGTTCAAGTGCCTTTTTGAGGAAACGTCCGTCCTTTACTTTGAAAAAAAAAAAAAAAATCATAATAATAATCCCAGTCTCTTGCTTTGTCCGCCCACATTCGCGCAAATGTAAACAAAGTCCGCAAGCGTTCGACGTGCTTGTTGACGTGGTTAATAACAGCTAAACACAAAGCCCGTAGAAGGCGATATCGGTGCGAACCTCACGGACCAGGTGGCGCACTTAATCTCCGGTCAATCTCCCGGCTTACTCTCGGCCTTGCTCTCGGCTCTGAGAAAATCCAGCCCCGAGGATCGCCTCAGTGAGCAACACAATGAGTACACGTTAGAGGCCGAGGAATCCCTTCATCGAATCTAAGTTGCCGGACAAGCGTCCCAGAATTTGAAGACACTCGGGTCGTGGAGAGACAACCTGAGCGCGCTACAGCAGATAGATAATTGAGGCTTATGAGATTACTACCTTACTACTGCAGACGGGAATATAGCAAGACCTTTCCTCGCCCTCTCTAAGCCTGAGCTGGCCTTTCTTGGATCGGAAATTAAGCGTGTGCCACCTGGTTATTCGTTCTCCCCTCCCTTCCTCTCTCATTCGTCTCTTCGACAAAGTATTTGCTTCGATTGTCATGTTTCACTCTCTCCGTCTCTCTCCACTGGCTCTCTTCTCTTTCTCGTTCCCGAACGAAGTTTGCTGGAGATCATGCAGGCTCCAAAGAAAACTTGATGATAATGCAAAGGTGCAAGCGAGCTGGACAATAATAAGAATAATAATTTCTGTAGAAGGGGAACAAGGGGGCAAAGGACAAACACACATCCCGTTTGTCTTTTGTCCGCCTCCATCAGGCACGTAGCCAGGATTTTGTTTCGGGGGGGGGGGGGGGGGGGGGGGGGGGGGGGAGCGCCCTTGACAAGATGCTGTATGAGGGGGAGATGAGGGTCCCAGCAAAATGGACAATTTCGGGGGGGAGCCCGGGCCCCATGTCCCCCCTGGCTACGTGCCTGGCCTACATCACGTTATTCTGCCAGGTTGCAAGCCTTCTTTCTTATCGCCAGAAATGTTTCTCGTCTAACGTTGTTTCACGAACTCTATCACCATGAATCGGATTTTTTTTTCAGACACCTCACATTCTTTTTTTTACAGGCTAACTCATAAAGCTAAACACATGCCACTCATCTGTTTATGCACATTCAATCATTTATAGCACGAGCAATAGTCGATAGTCATAACCTACCAGCACACAGCCGCCGAAGATGACCAAACAAAATTTCATGAACTCATGTGCAGTGATAATAACATTATTTTTTCTTGACGACTTATTTGCATTTTACTTTTATTTGTCATAGTCATCGTTTAACACGTTTTCATGTCTTTCGTCTTACTCTCATGATTAAATTTTTGTTATTTAATATATTTCACGCACCCCCACCCTCCTAGTAATACGCTCCCTTGGAGGGCCTTTGGAGGTATTTTAAACACATATTTGTTATCGTCCCAGTTTTTGCCCCTACTATTTCCCTCAGTAATGCCTTCGGGGCACGAGGGAACGTTAACATAAATAAGATGCCTTCGTCCTGTTTGTTGCTTCAGATTAATTCTCGTAACTTCACAAGCACGCCCTCATATTCGCCGAGAAGTATCGGTGGGCATAATCTTGAGCTGTCGTTTTCTCACACGGTGTCATGCTGCATCATTTATGTGTCGTGTCATGTCATGTGCATGTGTGTGTAATGTCGACCGTCATGAGAAGTTTGGGGCTCCTTGATTTAAGAGAGGGAGCAACTCGAATAACGGAGAGCGTTAATGGCGGACGCTTCGAGTCCAGGACACACTTAATCAAAATGCACATGCGTTTTTTTTTTTTTGTTTTGTTTTGTTTTGCATGGCGACAAAGAAAGCAGGCAGAGTGACCGGGGGGAGGGGGGGGGGGGGGGGGTTGGAAACACTTTGAAATCTAGGCACACTTGAGACCGATAACTTGGCAAACTGTGGAGGCGCTGCCCCCGCGACCCAATAAGAGCGTCGGAGCAAGTCACGTGATGACACCCCATGGTCGGGGCCACGGAGGGCTCGTTACCGCCACAGCAACAGCGCCGTCCGCGACAAAAAGTAGTTCTTTTTGTCGCGGACACGCGATTACATCTCTGTCGAAAACATAAACACGATAAAGAATAAATATTAACGAATTTATGAATTTCATTTATATTTATAAAAAAAAAGAAAAAGAAAAAAAAAGTGACAACGCATCCGCTTCCGTTTTTTGTTTCTTTCTTTTTTTTTTCTTGTACCGCCGTGGTTGTTGGGGATCGCAGCCGTGTAATCTTCCGCTTCCGCTCGAAACACCGCTCGGGCGTTAGCACTTGCCACAGATTAGTATCTCATGAACTGTTCCCGAAGAGCTCGCTACTCTAGCGGACGGAAAAATGTTGCGGCGGTACGGTGGACGCTAATCCGAAGGTTGTTGATTTCGCAGCAGACGACTCTTGGCCATCAGACGACAGCCGGTCCCTTGGCGCAGTGACACACGCTCCCGTGACGTAGGATCACGTGCCTCGCTACGACGATCCTATTGGGTCGCGGGGGCTGTAGCCTCCACATTTCGCCAAGTTCGCCGATATTTAGAAGCCCGGCCCAGCACGGACCGCTGTCTCTTGGGCAGGGCCCGGCCCCGGCCCGCTATCCATTTCCGACAGCCGGCCCGGCCCGGCCCGACGCTAATTTTCACGTGCCCGCTGAGGCCCGCTTTATTACAAATTCCGAGGCATGGAAGCTCGCTTGCCACTGCTACACACGTTCACTACTGTGCAAGATAATCAAGGCAGAAAGCGCTAACCTTTTTTTGTGTGTGTGTTATTATTAGGTGGACCAATCTGCAAATGTGAACAACTCGTAAAAAAAACAAAAAACACCATCACTTTTTTTTTTTTTTTTTTTTTTTTGCGCGTCCAAATTTTGGTGTCGAAAAGGACGGAAAAATAAAAATGGCGAGCAACAGCACATAAAACCATGTGCCAGTGTGGAAAAAGAAGAGGAACCTTACGACTGGTTCGAACACAAGACGGTTAAAGTTCTAAATTGCCCACTCCCTCTGTGTACAACCTAAACAAATAGACATATAAAAAAATACCGCCGTTTTTTTCTTCGCGGGGGTCTGCGAGAAATTGTTTAGGAGAAGCATCCGTGAGGGGAACCAGTCACCCATGGCCATATTGTGGATGCGCGTACTCGCACGTACAGATCGTCTACACTTGCGAAGGTGCGCATTGCTGCTGTGTGCGTGTTATTGGGGGAGCGACGGTGGCGCCGACGACGACGAAAATGAACGCCGTGCCGTTGGCGCTTTGGAAGAGCATTCGGTGCACACAGACTGAACCGTACAAATAGATATAACAAACGCGCATACATGCTTTGAGCATTTCAGTCTCCCCCCAAAACAGTGCTGCTAAATAAATAAATAAAAAAAAAATGTAAAGGCTGCTTTGGCCAGACCATTCCATTTAGCGCTCTCTGGGCGGCACCATTTTGTTCGACAGCAGCGCCCTCTCCATACATCCGAAAAATTCAGCGGGTTCGGCGGGGTAAAACGAGAGAGAGGGCACGCGCCCGACTCCGCTAGCAGGGCTAGCAGACGACAAACCGGGAGGTTGCCATTCTCCATCTTTGGGCTGTACCGGCGGGCTGTACGGAACATCGAACTCTCGCTCGTCGCTGCCGTTGTGAAGCGGTTCGCGTTCTTAGAATAGTTATGGCTACTCCAAAATCAGCCTATAGCTCTCTGTTGTTCTATTTCGGTAAATAATCAATTAGCATATCTTTTTTCTGTTACCTAAAAAGAGCAGTTGAGTCAGCCGGCAGTACTACCCTCAACCCCTGCGTGTATTGCGGCAAGAGCACGTTTTTATTTATAATTTCAGACTTCCACTCATGTTCACTAAAGGCCTACACCAGTACGAACTTTGTATAGTAAAAAAGGTACAGCAACCGGATTTACTTTTCGCCGGAGATACCGGGAAATCTGACACAGTTTTCCCTATTTTTTTTTTATTTGCATGCACGCAGGTAACAGCGCAATTAAACCCTGTTAATCTTTTTATCTAGCATAGTATTATACGATGACTGGCATACTAAAATCTGCGCATCTGCGCTTGAAATTTCCAAGATGACGCGATTTTAAACAGAGTTTGTATGCCAGCCGGATTCTAGGTACAGCCCACTCGGCGGAGCAGACGATATGTGGGTGAGAAAGGGAGGGCGTTTTTTTCTCTATATTACCCTCTCTGCTACGACCTGGCCCCAGTCCGGCCCGTGGCCCCAGACATTCGTTTTAGAGGGAGGGAGGGGGGGGGGGGGGGGTCGGCGAATTCCAGATATGGGTTTCAGGGGAGGGGGGGGAACGATAATCTAGGCGGGAAGTCACGGCGGATGGCGCCTAGGAGATCATGCCGACCACCGCCGCCGTGTCCACATGGTGCCGCCTAAACTACAAAAACATCAAAGTGACGGCCAAGGTTCTCATCTGAAGAGAGATGGCCGA